TAGTGGAGTCTTACCACAGCATGTGTCTGACCGGCACCTGTTTTTCTAAAAATAAATGTGTCCTGCAGGTATCTTCACCACAGTCAAGCGATCATCAAACAATATACACATAGACTGTACACATAATCTAATCCTATCATTGAGTAGTTCACTTACAGCTGCATTAGATAGAACTGGCTATGGTAGTATACAACAGTCCTACTCTAATCTATCTGTGAGGTGTTAGCAGTTGCCAACCAACTAATCAATAAAAGAACTAGACTATGTTGCAGATGTATGATTAGTGGGTATGGTAGTGTTTCCAGTTGAGCACCAATTAGAACCTACCCTCCCCTCCATCCAACATACCGAACAGCATCATTGAGCGAGCAGTGTCTTCGTGTGTGAATTGGCCCACCCCTGTGCCCAAGTTGTCACCGAGCAAGCCAGCCCAACCACTCTTATTTACCCTCGTACGGCGACGAGCCTTCCTGTCCATGTGATCTGGCTGATCAGGAGGAATTTATAGAGCGCCCCCATCTCTTCAGGAATTATTTAACGTCGCAGTCAGGACGGCGATCCGGAGGAACTTCTATTAGCGCAGCAAGTGCCAAACAGGACAGCAGCCATCGCATGCGTGCACTATTCCCTGTGGGTTGGCATGGTGACCGTGACCCAGTGCTTCGACCAGGGCCCTTCAGAGGCACAGCCCTTTCTCCTTCCAGATGCTTTCGGGAAGATTGTCGTCTCTCAAGGTAGCGCGCTCACGACACCTCACCAAGGAGAGGACTCTCAAGTTGGACTCACTTCCTCACGGTAAGAAGAGATTGAGAAGGTAGATAAGGTAAGGGATGCCCTGGGTAGAGAGGGGTGCAGCGGAAGGCTATTACGGCAGTGTATGCCGTGGGTTACAGCGGAATGTTTGATTGGTGATGAGAGCATGCTGATGTGGCATTGGACTAAGGTGGCACTGCATTGCGTTGTGGGTGGTACCGAGGTCATGACCGGTCATCAAATGCAACATCAGCTCAATTGGTGAGAAATGTGTGGTTGGGGGCAGCTACACCTAATGTGGCCTGACGTCACAAGTACCCACTGCGAAGAAGCATCGTCAACGCACCAAGTCTGTAAAACGCCAGCGTGCCAAAGGTAAGTGGCGATCAAACCAGCTCCGATACCAAATTGCAAGGAACATGAGTATGGACGAAGCACAGAAATCCAGAATGCAAAATCACACTGAAGTCCAAGTAGTCAAAGCCAAAGCAGATAGCACATGGAACCGAGTAACCATCCAATTGAGAATGATACAGAAGAATCGTGAGTCAATGTCCATGTCCAACAGGGCAACACCAACAGCATAACCCAAATGTAGCTTTCTCTTGTGAATGGCGCCAGGTGCCCTATCTACTCTACAGCCTATCCTACAACTACAGCAATGAACAGCAACCAGACAACTTGACTACCAGCGAGTGATGATGTCAACACCAATGCCGACCTCCACCTTCACCAGGTACGTGTCCTCTTCCCCACACTCTCCCTTKTWACCCACACAGCGCCCTTCACCTCYGAAGACCACCTTCGCCCTTCACCTCTCTGCACCCTCATGCGGCCCGGCTATGGCCGCCAGTGCYTTGCATGCAGGCAGCGCCCTACCGCCTAGCGCTGGCCTGCTCCACCTTAGCGCAGCGCTGCTCTGCACAACGCAGCACACATGCATCCGCGCAGCRTGCCYGCAATGCCAGCATTGGCCAAGATCCCTGCCCACTCGCCCTGCTTGCCTATATGCCAGTGTTGCGTGTGGGCGGCCTCCCTTCAGCCTGCGACTGGGCCCCAGTGCCTGAACCCAGGCCCGATGTGGTTGGGGCCCGGGCGATGCAGTTGCGCCTCTTTCATCAAGGCCTGCGGCCAGAAGCAGATAGGGGACCGATTTCCCATTGGCATTTTCGGCCTCTACATCCAGCATGCATTGTCGGCCTCACGTTCAGATGCCCAGGGCCTAACCAACTCAGGGGCCCTGGRATTTCCRCATTTGCAGAGATCCGAGACTCGGTGCACTCYAACCAACTGGCGTGCTGCAACTGTATGGACCCCACTTCGTGAAATGTTTGCACAGAGGGCTCTTGTTGATTTGCTGGCCCGCCTTCACTTAGGGCGGGCACTAGGCTTGCTGGGGCCTTAGCCCAGAACATGCACATCATGGCAAGGCCCCTTCTTGAGGGTTCAATCCTCACACTAAGTTGCCACCAAACAAATTGTTCTATTTTCCTTGACAAATGACAGTGACTCCTTCATGACTGATGCAGCCTCCACATGCACAGCTTCTTACCTTCTTGCCACTGTCGTACCAGCCCCCCCCAATCCCGAGTTGGTTTGCTTCAATGGTGAAAACAAATGAATAGATGGATCATCAATCTTCAGGAATGATGACTGTGTCGATGCATGTTTCAAGATCCTCCATTCATTTGCATTTTTTCTCCTCAGTCCACTTTTGTGACGATCGAGCCCTCAAGAAGGGGCCTTGCCATGATGTACATGTTCTGGGCTAAGGCCCCCGGCAAGCCTCGTGCCCACCCTAAGTGAAGGCGGGCCAGCAAATCAACAAGAGCCCTCTGTGCAAACATTTCACGAAGTGGGGTCCATACAGTTGCAGGACGCCAGTTGGTTGGTGTGCACTGAGTATCGGAGCTCTGCAAATGCAGAAATCCCAGGGCCCCAGAGTTGGTTAGGCCCTGGGCACATAAACGTGAGGCCGACAATGCATGCTGGATATAGAGGCCGAAAATGCCAATGGGAAACCGGTCCACTATCT